GCTTATATTACTTTAATTATCTCACTATTGCATATATCTTTTGTCCTCATCATTTTGCCCCAATGACTACTAATTTTGTGGAAATTTCGAATGCGCTAGAACCGACATGAAACAAAATAGATTCATAATAATCGGAAAATGTGAAATCGCAATGTGTGGCCCAGCTAAGACAACAAAAAGTAAAAAAAAAATGCAGAGACGAAAAGCAAATTGTAAGTACAATAATACTAACAAAAGATCTCGGTCTCGAAGTTCCATCTTCTTGTAAGTTGTAAAAAGGCATTTTTCGCCTTTCGCTGCCACAATAATTAACCCTCGGATGTAAACGCAAATTCATACCCCCACCGAGGTACAAGGGGGTGGGCGGGGGGGAGGGGGTGGATGGAGCCACTCCCAAGAGTTTGGATATGTTGCTGTATTTTGAAACAATTTTACCTTTAGTGGAAAGCCTCTGATCTTCTTAACAAGATGAGGTATATTTCATGGGTGGTTGCACTGCTGGAGGCCTGTGACTTCACCAACAATGGTCGCCATCTTGGCAGCCATCTTGTATTTTACCAAGAATTAGGAATCAGGTTAAAACTGCGAGAAATGTTTTTTTTTTTTTTTGTGCTTTACATGAATAATAACACATAAATAAGCATTTTGCATGATTTCAGCCACAAGATTTACATTAATTGTTGAACAAAGTTGAAAAACATGTATTTTCAACCAAAATTGGCTTGACCACCCTATACTTATGACGTCATATCTCGTAGCCATAGCAACTGACCAGAACTAAACTTGTCTCAAAATTTGTGCGAGAGATAAACGAACAGCTACTGACAACGTCAATTTTTTATGTTTTATCCTCTAGGAAAAAACTCAGAAAAACCTTATGGGGAGGGGGTGGCATCCATTCCCCCCCCCCCCCCCCTTTCGGCTTCAGGGTTAAGTTTTTTGTGTGTTGCTTAANAAATATGTGTATGATAATATGATGATAAACCATGCAAGACCTATATAACGCAGTTTCAGCTAAGGATTTGCCCATTTTTTATTTGAGATTATTCGCCCTAATTCAAACACCCCTTGAAGCCCCAAACATTCTTAGGATATTTTTTAACGCTTAAATGTACCGTTAATAAACCAAGTATTACTGCGCTTTTCATAAACCGCGAATTTTGAATTTCAAATGCCAACTGACGTTTGCGTTTTGGCTGCCGTCAATAATCTTAGCGGACCTCTTTGAAAACAGAAGTTTACTTTAACTGGTTCAAAAGGTCATGGTTTGTGATTTGTGATTGGTGGATTGCTATCCGTTTTGTGTGTTTCTGTGTTTGTTGCTTGTGATCGTAATTCTGATTGCGGCAGCGAAAAACGAAATTGTGAAGGCGGCTTTTGAACTTCAGAGTTCGCGTGTTTTTGAAAAGAGCAGTAACTTTGCGTAGTTGATTGTAGACTTGACATCTGTGAGTAGGGAACAAAAAGGTTCCAGATCCTTCTTTAACAATGAATGACGTTAGTGTTTGAGATAATTAACGGTTTTCCAAAAATTATGGAATAAGATTTTGTCAATAAATTCAACATGGCTTCATAATGACATCAAATTACGTCATGTGTCAATCAAGTTATGCCTAGATGTTGGAAATAAATAGCACATTATTCTGTGTTATTTTAGTGGCCCTTTTGTTTATGTAAATAATCATCATCATAAAACATCCTCAATAATATTAACAATACGCAATTATTATTCTTATTGTTATCGTTATTGTTATTGTTGTTGTTGTTGTTGTTGTCGATGAAGATACTTATTATTGGGTTTACTTGTCCTTCGACCACCTATTTCAAGTTTATTACAAAATGCGGCAGCTTATTTTATTACAAAGTGCGATAGCTTTTTCGTTAAAAAAGTCCGACCAGTGTTATTACAAAGGGCGACAATTTTATTACTATTACTATTATTAACTTTATTAAGTGCGACGGAATATGGAATCTGGAATCCGTGAAATTTGTGTTTGCGGAATCCGGAATCCCGATAACGATTTAAATCTAGAGTCCAGTACTAAATTGAATCCGGAATTCCCAGCATGGAATACAGACTGACGACAAAGTGACGGCGACAGCCCGCGTGACCGAGCGGTTAGAGCACTGGACTTGTAATTTGGAGGCCTCGAGTTCAAGTCCCGCTCTGATCGCTGGCTGGATTTCTTCTTGGTAGTTTCGAGTTCAAATTCTCGATCACGCTTGCAAATAGCCAGCTAGTTTGCCTCCGGTCAGTTGGGATTCTTAACCCTGTTATGTTTGGTTTGAATTATTTGTTTCAGGTATTTGCTCGTCCCCTCTAGTATTAGTGTTATAAATACTGCCAAAAGGTAAACAAAGGATTCCAAGTCTGTCTTCCATTACTTAATATGGGGCGAGGAAAAAATTTGAATATAACGACAAAAACCAAAAACGAAAGCCTTGCCTTCTAAGCGAACTTAGAATATAATAAGCAAGAACGCTCTTTTAAAAGCCTCAAGTCTATTTTCTTGGTGATTAGATAAGAAATGAAGTTGATTAGTTCTACACGAAACAGGGTTTCCTCGCAAAAAGTTTTTCACTTCCTTCTTTATCCACGGTCAAGTATTCTCCAGGATATTTACTTTTTATATCGTATTCGAAGATCATTGAGTAGGCGTGTATAAATACACGAAAATCAGTTCGTGAAAAATTACGTCATTGCCAGAAAGCAAAAACGTGGTGAGCATGGCCCGTCCAGGGCGTTAGGGATCTTAAGGTAACAGAAATCTTGCTAGCCCCAAGTAATAGCCGCCAAGTACTTGAAACTTGTTAACCCTCTCAGGTTTTTGATGCTGTGTCTTAACCTAAATAGGTCTCTTAGATATTCAGGTGAGATATCTGACGTCATTTGGACGTCATATTGTTGAATATATTGGGAAAAGCCAAATTCCTGCAGTTTTCCTCTCTAAGCGAAAAATACTTACATAGACTCGTGTCTAAGAAAATCAAAAATTGAGCTAAAACATTTATGACCTTTAACAACAGTAGTGATATCATGATGAAGTCACTTATTATTAAGGAAAGATCTGGAATTATCTGCCATCTTGTATCTACCATTTTGCCAAAATGAAAATGCTATCTTATCATTTGTCAGAAATAGTTATTAAAATTAAATGGTAATTTTTTCCTAAATTAACTGTAATGCTATAATTTAAGAAAATAAAAATAGGAGAAAAACTTGTTATGGGAAAATTTCAGGAAAAGTCGCTAAGTTCGGTTGTCACAGCTCAAACGGTTTTAAAGTTATTCGATCATTTTCTTCTCTAAATATGGGAGCGAGCTCCAGAAGCCCTCCCGCGGTCTTAAAGTTAATACTCAAAGCACATCTTAGTCTGATCAATAAGTTGTCGAGGAGATTTCGTCCCAGCATTGTAATTGTTGTTGTTCCTGTTTTTATTGTTACCAGTATCCTTTTAACTATACGTCAAAATTCTTCGAAGAAAGTATTCAAAAGTACATTGAAACGAACTTATTACAATGGGTTGCTCAGTTGTGATGCAAATTGTACTAACTTTCTATATTCCTACTCCATTAAATCTATTCTAGGTAATCTTTTCAAGGGGTAGAGTATCGTAAGTGTGCCCCTCTCCTCTTTAGTAACATTTCTTTATTGACAAAGTCGTACTAAACTGGAAAAAAAAAATACTTAACAATTTTTCCTTGAGCCCGAATGAGCTCTGAATCAATAGCCCATGAGACCGAAGACCGAATGGGCTATTGACTCAGAGGCCATGAGGGCGAAAAGAATAATCGTTTTGGTAAAATCCAACAAGTTGGTCAAAAATAACGAGAATAAAAAAATTTTAGTAGTTAAAGCTAGACTTTAATCCTTTTTTGCCGCCAAAAAGCCCCCGCTTTTCGCTACTAGTGGGCTATAACATATAGACCAGTAGTAGCTCAACCAATCAGAACGCAGCATTGATAATAGACCACTAGCTGGATTTTACTAAAATACGATATAGTCGATATACAATACGATATAATACAATAGTATAAATAGTATACGAAACAATACCATGTAATTAATGCTGGCAATACAATGCAATACAGTTATGGTTCTCCTTTCGCTTCCCACATTCTGAACATTATCTACTGAAGGATTTTGATTTTGATTTTGATTTTTGATGGTGTAACTGTTACAGTGAAACCCTGCAATCTACTATCATATAAGAAGCCACTAAAATGACACTGTAGCATGCGTATCAGAGCTATTTCAAGCTGCTTTCTCTACTTTTGTCACAAGCACTG